ACTGGTTTAGAGAACAATGGAACATACAAACTTTTGAGTTTAACAAGAGGAAGAATCCATTTGTTTATAAATGGTTGTTCACTGTAAACTACAAGGTTGATGGAACAATTGAAAAATGTGGCTAGAATTTGAAATAGAGATCTAGGTACATGAGTTATCTCCGGATATTGATGTTGTTATGTCTAATAGATATTGTTTCTCAAAGAAAGTACGTCAAAGACTTGTTACGGGAGACAGGACGTTAGGCTGCAAGCATTGGAAGACTATTATTGATCATAAATTCATAATTATAAGTAAGGATTAGCTGAAAGAAGTCTAAAAAAATCACCTTGAATATATCCAAAAGCACTATGCTCCAGATTTAGAGCAGAAACCTTTGCCCCTGCTTCTTCACGAGCCGCCTGCTACAACAGCAAGGAAAACTCAGTTTGAAAAACACAAACCCTGTGTCAATATGCAAATTACCATTTTTGGACTATACGGTTCAGTAGATAAACTTGAATATAAATTCTAAAATTCAGCACATGCTACCACCAAATTGCTCCATATAATTATACGCAAAAGTGCCAGCCATCCGTTGCATATGTGCCAATTTTACATCAACACAAAGGTGACTTCCCCTCCCATACTTAGCCCCCCATGCTCTTCCCTCTTTGTTATGTAGGTATACATTATTTTTGTCATTTACTTTATTTTACAAGTAGCATTTTATATGCATTTTCATTTAATTGGAAAGTAGATCAATGGCTGTAAGAGTTGTGGTTCTGGTAGAGATTCACTTATAAAACCGCAAATCCTACCTTCTCGTGCTCAAGTTCGTTCCTCAGCTTTTTCCTTTCATGCTCAAGTTCTTCCACCTTCTGTAGTAAAGTGATAACATCAGGGCACAATGGGAATGAATAGACTATTTAGATAGTAGATTATCAAAGCAGGCAACAGGAAGCAAGTATACTTTTCTATTGCTGGCAAAAGTACGCTGCTCCTCGCGAATTTGAGCCTCCAGTTGGCGAACTTTATTATCAGAAGAAACCATTTTTTTCCTGGTGTCTTCCTGCCATTCAAAGAAACATTATTATACTCCAAGATGAGTTATTGACAAATGATGAAAATAATGTATAACTATAACATACCAAATTCCTCTTTAGAAAAACATCAACTGAGCTTTAAGCACAAGAGAAGCACGTACTGTGTCATCTATGTCTATTCATGCGCAGAGAAGCATGTATTCCAGATGTTGTACAGATGCTTAGTAATATTAATCTTTGAACATCAGTTCCTCATTTGAAGTAGTAATACACATCAACAAAGAAGAGAATATCATTCATAAATCATAAAATAAAGCCATGGAATACGAATACCAATACAACCAATAATGTAGATTGTTTCTCCAGAATGATGTTATTTTCTTTGAATTGTTAGCTAATTATTATTTACTCATTCAGTCTCCTAAAAGAGACTTTATTTTATCTCAATGGTGGCAGTGACTCCAAATACACATGAACAACACAAAAGCCAATATCACATACACGAAAATTTATCCCTGAATATTCAAATTTCCAAATGTAGCATACATATACATATGTTGATAAAACTACTCAGTACTCACCATGACAACTGCAGAGACTTCTTCACGTTGAGGCTCTGCCTCTTCAATTTCAACGGTAGGCTGAAAATCGATGCAATAACCAAGGATTTCAAATCCGTTGTCCCAAGCATCGAGAGATAGAACCGAAGCAAAAAGGCAAAAAAGAAAAAGAAAAAGAGAGGCGAAGAAGGTAGCTTAGGGTGGATCGGTATAGGTCTGATGCCGACGGTTGGGGGAAGACAGGCGACTTCTTTGGGGCCGGCGGATAGAACGGCGGAGAAGATTTGGGCGGGATTGAAATACGGGGAGAGGAAAGCAGAGAAAATTGGGTAGGTGGTGAAGGAGTCTAGGGCTGAAGCCTGAAGGCTAGGGCGAAACGGCGCAAGGAGAGGGAAGTGAACGGGGAGAAGATGAAATAGGGTTGAGTTGGGGGAAAATTTGAGTGAGAATGGAATTGGAAAAACGAATTGTTCAAAACAAGAGATGGAGGCGGTGGAACCATTTAAGGATTAGGATAGATGTGTCTAAGGTGGTGGAACCGTGTAAGAACAAGAGAGAGTTGCTAGGATTAGGATAGGAAAAAATTAACCAAATACAGAAAAATCACACAGGAAGACTCGAACCTTTGACGTCCGCGCGAAATGTCTTCAGAAGCGCCATTGAAACCGCTGCACCACCTGTGAACAGTAAATTAGCTTAGCCTCTTTTACAGATGGTAGGATAAATTAATATATATTAGTTGATGAGAAATAATTAATGAGTTTTAAAGCGATTAATTTCATTTCACAAACCAAATCAGCAAAGAATTCGAATTTTGTGTAAGAATCGCATCAAATTTGTGATTGAAAATAAATTTAATAAAAAAATAATTTTTAATCGATTATGTTCCATGACATTTGTCATGTGACAAATTTATGACATGGCAACCCAGCAAACGTAGGATATGAATCCGGTGTTAAAACTTAATTAAAGTTTTTAATAAGATTTGAGTGTAGTGATGTTTACCTTCTTAAATAATCTCATATAATTTTTTATTACTTCTTTTTTTTTTTTTCAATTTCAGATAATTGCTGAGAAGGGAAAAGCCAAAAATGTCAATTTCAACCCTGCCGCGTAATTATAAATTCTTAAATAATCTCAGATAATTTGCAACATAATATTCATATTCTACTACTGCAGCGTGATACTCCTATTCTACTACTGTAGCATGATCGTGCTGCTGCTAGGGCTAGAATATTTTTTTATCTTATTCTAGTTGCTTGCTTATAAGTAGCCAGTATAGTATACAATCTGTTATCATATCCTCTGCTCTTCTATCAACAAACTGAAATGGCTTTGAGTTTTGCAATGAGTTCTTGCCCCTCCCTCCACCGTCGTTTCATCTGCTCACCATCGTCGGGTAAATCCCGTTTCATTTTCTTTCCACAAGCTGATTGCACCAATTGGAACAAGTGCAGATTTTCTGTGAGCAGATGAAACGACGGTGGAGGGAGCGGCAACAACTCATTGCAAAACTCAAAGCCATTTCGATTTGTTGATAGAAGAGCAGAGGAAATGATAACAGATTGTATACTATACTGGCTACTTATAAGCAAGCAACTAGAATAAGATAAAAAAATATTCTAGCCCTAGCAGCAGCACGATCATGCTACAGTAGTAGAATAGGAGTATCACACTGCAGTAGTAGAATAGGAGTATTATGTTGCAAATTATCTGAGATTATTTAAGAATTGATAATTACGCGGCAGGGTTGAAATTGACATTTTTGACTTTTCCCTTCTCAGCAATTATCTGAAATTGAAAAAAAAAAAGTAATAAAAAATTATCTAAGATTATTTAAGAAATTAAACATCACTACACTCAAATCTTATTATCCATTAATTAACAACTTTAATTAAGTTTAACACCGGATCCATACCCTACGTTTTCTGGGTTTCCATGTCATAAATTTGTCACATGACAAATGTCATGGAACATAACCGATTAAAAATTATTTTTTTATTAAATTTATTTTCAATCACAAATTTGATGCGATCATTGCACAAAATTCAAATTCTTTGCTGATTTGGTTTGTGAAATGAAATTAATCGCTTTAAAACTCATTAATTATTTCTCATCAACTAATATATATTGATTTATTGATAAAGAAACTTAACTCTCGTGTTCGTTTTTCATTCTAATGTCGTAAAATTGCATCAATGGAATGTTAAATATTAGACTTTCTAATATCAACTAACTTTTAACGATTACGGTCACAGAGTCGTGGTAGGCTTAATTTGGTTGAAAGTTAACTAATTATCACATTCTTTCTAAAATTAGTTCCTAACAATCGTAACTACAACACGTGCACTTGTGTATGATATAATCATACTAAATGGAACTTGAAAAACACGTGGCACTTCTTTTATTATTTACTAAGATTTTAACTACTTTATTTAGTACTTCGATTCCTTTATCAAATATTTGAGTATTTAGAGTTTGTGATATTGAGTATAATCTAGGATAATTTGGCTGTTAAGTGGAATGATCACCATTTTTTGGGAAATATGTAACGAATCACAAGCTTTTAAGTAAAATAGTGACTCTTATCAAAAAGTTCCAATATTAAAATCCTTAATTAGCCTTTTTAGGTAATTCTTGATCTGTTGATCATTTTAACATACTCGAAAAGATGTTTTCTGGTGGGACAAAATCAAGAAACAAATTTCAGCTGCTTTTTTTGTTTTTAATTCTTCGAGAAAAGTAGAAATAGTACAAACTGTCACTTTGCAGACTGTGGGTTTCTATTAGTTTGTGTTGATTTTTCATCAGATGTGAAATTTTAATATAGAGAATTTTTTTTTAATTTATGTATAAGAAAAGTAGAAATAGTACAAACTGTCACTTTGCAGACTGTGGGTTTCTATTAGTTTGTGTTGATTTTTCATCTGATGTGAAATTTTAATATTTAGAATTTTTTTTTAATTTATGTATAAAGTTAGTTCATCAGAGAATGTATGATTGAAAATAAATTTTTTGGAGTTCTTCTTCAAGCTCCTTACAGAAAATCTGCACTTGTTCCAATTGGTGCAATCTCTCATTTGCAACTTCTTTTTCCATCTCCAATTTTTTCTCTAGTGAAGTGATACATGCACTCATCTATCAGTAAGCCACGTATATAGCTTTCTATTTTTTTGCATATAAATAAAGATACATGCACTCTTGTTTCCTTGTGGTCACAGATGAAAATAAATCTGATGGGAAAAAGAGGCGGCCATCACTTCACTAGAGAAAAAATTGGAGATGGAAAAAGAAGTTGCAAATGAGAGATTGCACCAATTGGAACAAGTGCAGATTTTCTGTAAGGAGCTTGAAGAAGAACTCCAAAAAATTTATTTTCAATCATACATTCTCTGATGAACTAACTTTATACATAAATTAAAAAAAAATTCTCTATATTAAAATTTCACATCTGATGAAAAATCAACACAAACTAATAGAAACCCACAGTCTGCAAAGTGACAGTTTGTACTATTTCTACTTTTCTCGAAAAATTAAAAACAAAAACAAAAAAAGAAGCTGAAATTTGTTTCTTGATTTTGTCCCACCAGAAAACATCTTTTCGAGGATGTTAAAATGATCAACAGATCAAGAATTAACTAAAAATAATTAAGGATTTTAATATTGGAACTTTTTAATAAGAGTCACTATTTTACTTAAAAGCTTGTGATTCGTTACATATTTCCCAAAAAACGGTGATCATTCCACTTAACAGCCAAATTAACGTTTAGGTCACTATAGTTGTAAAAGAAAGACATTATCCTCGATTATACCCAATATCACAAACTCTAAACACTCAAATATTTAATAATTGATAAAGGAATCGAAGTACCAAATAAAGTAGTTAAAATCTTTATTATATTAGTAAATAATAAAAGAAGTGCTACGTGTTTTTCAAATTCCATTTAGTATGATTATATCATACACAAGTGCTCGTGTTGTAGTTACGATTGTTAGGAACTAATTTTAGAAAGAATGTGAGAATTAGTTAACTTTCAACCATATTAAACCTACCACAACTCTGTGACCGTAATCGTCAAAAGTTAGTTGATCGTAGAAAGTCTAATATCTAACATTCCATATATAGAATTGAAGTACCAAACCAATTATTAAAATGTCGGTTAAAGTAGTTAATACTAAAAACATTATGTCTTCAATGTCTATTGATGCGATTTTACGACATTAGAATGAAGAACAAACATCAGAGTTAAGTTTCTTTATCAATAAATAACCACACATTCTTCAATAAAATAATATTTTCCATCACATCAATAATTTTTTTCTTCTTTTTCAACCACACATTTCCCATAATATCACTATTCAAAAATCAATTCTTCCCCCAAAAATCCCTACCGAACAAGCTCTTAATGGGTTGTAAGGCGATTAATTTCATTGCACACACCAAATCAGCAAAAAATTTGAATTGTGTAAAAATTGTGGATTGCATCAAATTTGTGATTGAAAATAAATTTAATAAAAAATAATTTTTAATAGGTTATGTTCCATGACATTTGTCATGAGACAAATTTATGACATGGCAATTGCAACTGGAATGTAATACGATAAGTTGTAATCCTCCATTGATTTAGAGGAGGAGAAGAAGACTGTATCTCTCTCACTCATCGTATACATACTTAGTATTTGCTTTACGCACAAATAAAATCTCCGGAATCATTGATATTCATTCCCAAGAGGAACTATGTGCGATTCAATACAATTTCAGTTTGCTTTGCTTTCAATAAATAAACAGCGAGAGAGAGAGAGCGAGAGCGAGCTCAAATACTCAAGCTCAAATCTGCGGATGTAAATTTGAAACCCTAATGGACAATTGCTGCTTCTGTAGGAGGCATTGTAAGGGTATTTTGGGACAATATATGAAATGACAGTTATACCCTTTACTGCCTTTTTTCCCACTTTTTCTTTCTTTGTCCAACCACCCAGGGGGATTGAAAAATTAAAGAATGTGAAAGTTTCATAACTGAGAAATTAAATTCCACCAATTTCAAATTTAAGAGATAAAGTTAAAAATTTCAAATCTCAGATTTTTTTAAATTTTATTTATAAATTAATTAATTAAACATATATTTTATTAATCAAATATATTAAAGTCACGATTCATACATATTTATTTGTTGAACAATCTTCTTGTTCGTGGTCTTTATCGAAGTTTGTAAACATCCACTTTTCATCAATTTGGTTCTATGGACAAATAAATATGACGGAAGAACTTGCGAAGAGTGCAATAGAAATTAATAACTCGTCCATCCATAGTTCTTAATTATTTATTTTGCCTTCAAAGGAATTATTCCTTTATATATCTTACTTCGAGGTGCTTGCTCGAGAATTATAATATGTAAAATATATAATAATGTTTTAGGAATGTAGAATCTTTTACTAATGTTAAGAGGTGGTTTGACAAAGTTTTTGACAATTGTTCAGACCAACATTAGTATTAAATATCCAGAAAAGTATAAACACATAGAAAATACCAGCATTAACAAGTTATAAAGCTCTAGAAAGTATACATTTTGATTCATGACTGGTTCTCTTCCTCACAGCTCTCATCTGCAAACTCGGTCGGAATATTAAAGACTTGTGATTCAAGTTTTGAGCACAAATCCCTAGACTGCTGCAGTTGTTTTGCAAGATCTGATACTTCATTCCTCCATAGTTTCCTGGGACTGCTTATATGCAGAGCTCAAAGCAAGTATGGAGCTCAAAGCAGTTTCCATTAGTTCTCTCTCTCTTAAAGCAAGTATGGAGCCAAGGTTTCGACATTTTTCAATCTCGAAACTCATCAAACTGATTTTCACTCTTGATAGTGCTAGAGATTCATGTTCTTCCTCTAATTGTTCTCGAAGTTCCTCATTCTCGTACGCTATCCCATAAACTTCAACTTGAAGACTATCGAATTCTTCAAGCTCGTCACAGAAATTAGTGCTTGTTCCAATTGGTGCAGTTGTTCATTTCCAACTTTTTTTTCCAACTCCAGTTTTTTCTGCAATGAAGTGATGGAAGCTTACAGATTCTATGGTTGCATCGGAAGTGGTATTTTTTCTTCATAATCAATGAACAAATAATAGCTATGCTGCAGAAAATTCCAAGTGCAAAAAAATGATTTTGAGATTCAACATCCTTTGCAATGAAACTGAACAATGAAAACCCAATCGAAGAACACTCTCATGTTGCAAATGTTGGCTCCTTTTGAATTTTCTCGATGCAGACAAGTCATGATTGTTCTCATCTTCTGGACGAGTGCAAAAAACGTGAAACGGGATTGACCCGAACATGGTGAGATGAAACGGTGGAGTGAGGATTGAAAATGGCAAGAACTCACAATTGCAAAACTCAGTCATTGTTGTTTGCTAATAGAAGAGCACGGGAAAGAATAACAGATTGTGACGTATCAAAAAAAACCTAGAATAAGATAAAAAGAATATTCTAGGCCCCAGCAGCAAGAAGCATCACGATTTGTTACAGTAGTAGAATTGCTTATAAGTAGTCAGTACACAGCAATTGCTATGAGTTCTTGTCATTTTCAATCATCCCTATCAGCAAACAGCAATTGCAATAGGGGAGAGTGTTCTTCTATTAGCAAACAGCAATTGCTATGAGTTTTGCAATTGTGAGTTCTTGTCATTTTCAATCCTCCCTCCACCGTTTCATCTCCTCACCATGTTCAGAACGCCCAGAAGATGAAAACAACTATGACTTGTTGCACCGAAAAAATCCAAAGGGAGCCAACATTTGCAATAGGAGAGATTGTTCTAGCTAACCCAAAAGTAACAAGTCAACAGTTTGATTGCAAAGGATGTTGAATCTCAAAATCCTTTTCTTGCACTTGAAATTTTCTGCAACATAGCTGTTCTCTGTTCATTGGCTATGAAGGAAAATGTCACCTCTGATGCAACCATAGAATCTGTAGGCCACATATCTTTCTATTTTTGCATATAAATAAAAATAACGCATACATGAACTCTTGTTTCTTTCTTATGGTCATAAATGAAAATAAAATTGAAGGAACGGGAGGCTTCCTTCACTTCATTGCAGAAAAAACTCGCGTTGGAAAAATAAGTTGGAAATGATTAACTGCACTAATTAGAACAAGCACTAATTTCTGTGACGAGCTTGAAGAACTCGATAGTCTTCAAGCAGAAGTTTATGGGGCAACGTACGAGAATGAGGAACTCCGAGAAAAATTGAAGGAAGAGCATGAATCTCTAGTACTCTCAAGAGCGAAAATCAGCTCTGTATATAAACAGTCCCAGGAAACTATGGAGAAATAGAGGATTGAAGCATCGAATCTTGCAAAACAACTACAGCAGTCTAGGGATTTGTACTCAAAGCTTGAAGCACAAATCTCTAATATTCCGACCGAGTTTGCAGAGAGTTGTGAGGTAAAGAACCAGTCGTGAATCAAAATGTGTTTTAACACTTTCTAGAACTTTATAGCTTGCTAATACTAGTATTTCCTCCTTTAGCATTATATCAACGATCTCCTTCACATCCAGCTTGGCAAGCTGCCGAAATATAATCTATTTAAAAATTCTGGCCTGAAATATTGTTTCAGTTCCTCCGTCACCAGGCTCTTGATTCGGTAACTGTTATCCTTCTCATTATAGTCTAGATCAAAACCAGTATGACGACCTCCATTCACAATTAAACTACTTCCTACATTTGATGTCATGATTAAAATGGTGTTCTCCAAGTCTACTGTTATACCTTTACCGTCAGTTAACCTTCCATCTTCAAGAATTTGAAGCATCATATTGAACACGTCTGGATGAGCTTTTTCGGTTTCATGAAAAAGTACAACAGTGCAAGGACGGCGTCGAACAGCCTCCGTTAACTGTCCACCTTCGTGCATTGGTTACATTGGTCAACCGGGTCTTTTCTATTTCGAGCGTTACAGTCAACCCCAAAAATTCTGGTTGTGCCGCACTGCGAACGGCACGACTAATGGCTTTGATAGCTTTGTCCTGCCAATGACCGGTGTGTGGAGTTTCTCCATCTTGAGGAGACGACCGAATTCATCACTAGACACTTTCTCAACAGGTATTCCCGTCCAGGGAGAAACAATGTGCTGAATGTCAACTTCGGTCACAACAGGACCTCCATCCCCTGCCTCACTCTCCACCTTGGTCATTTCTTTGTTTTTGTCTATAAGAGCGGATATCTGTGCCTTCAGATCCATTTCCCTATCAAGTAATTCCCCAGCCTGTACATTAAGGCACACCCATTTCCCTGTCACGTAATTCCCCAAACATTAATTAAAGCATCGTGAGATTCATCCGATAAAGCCGGCGCTAGGAAATCCTGCTAAGCATTGCACTCAGCAACTAAACAGCTTAAGAATTAGTATCATAATTGAAACATGAAAGAAAACTCAGTATATCCTATATTTTACTCTTATTGGACCAAAAAATGGGATATGTATTATAAGGTTATAATTCACCTTTTCAAAGTTTAGACTTTTGACTGCTTCAATTTTCTCCTCCGTGATCTTCCTGAGTTCTTTCTCTACCTCCCTAGCTTCCTCAAGAAGCTGCAAAAGATACTACAGTTGCTATAGATTGTTTTGGATAAGGAAAATAGCATCAATAAGAAAATCCCATACCTGAGCGTGACAAAGTTGAACACGGGAACCAGCTTCATCAATCAATTCAATGGCTTTATCTGGAAGAAAGTGATCGCTGAAATATACAAAGAGAATATTTGGAGATAAGCAGACAGTTCACGAGCAACACCTGGCTAAGGCACATGAGTGACTATTGCTAGGATCAGAAGACAACTAAAAGGGGGATGGAAAACACTGTTATTCGAATGTTTCAAATCCTCCCATACCATTTCATCGTTACGTTACGTTACGTATACACACTGTTTACTGTAATCAGTAAACAATAAATTATAGATTACAATATAATATTTACATTTTTTCTCCACTACTTATAAGCAAGCAACTAGAATAAGATAAAAAAAATATTCTAGCCCTAGCAGCAGCACGATCATGCTACAGTAGTAGAATAGGAGTATCACACTGCAGTAGTAGCACAACAGTGCAAGGACGACGTCGAACAACCTCCGTTAACTGCCCACCTTCGACGTAACCAATGTAACCAGTTGGCCCAGAAAAGATAAAGCTCGCAATGTCAGTTGGGGTTTTTAAGACCAACACGGGCACTGCGAACGGCACGACTAATGGCTTTGATAGCTTTGTCCTGCCAATGACCGGTGTGTGGAGTGTCTCCATCTTGAGGAGACGACCGAATTCATCAGTAGAAACTTTCTCAATAGGTATTCCCGTCCAGGGAGAAACAATGTGCTGAATGTCAACTTCGGTCACAACAGGACTTCCATCCCCTGCCTCACTCTCCACCTTGGTCATTTCTTTGTTTTTGTCTATAACAGCGGATATCTGTGCCTTCAGATCCATTTTCCTATCACGTAATTCCCCAGCCTGTACATTAAGGCACACCCATTTCCCTGTCACGTAATTCCCCAACATTAATTAAAGCATCGTGAGATTCATCCGATAAAGCCGGCGCTAGGAAATCCTGCTAAGCATTGTACTCAGCAACTAAACAGCTTAAGAATTAGTATCATAATTGAAACGTGAAAGAAAACTCAGTATATCCTATATCTTACTCTTATTGGACCAAAAAATGGGATATGTATTATAAGGTTATAATTCACCTTTTCAAAGTTTAGACTTTCGACTGCTTCAATTTTCTCCTCCGTGATCTTCCTGAGTTCTTTCTCTACCTCCCTAGCTTCCTCAAGAAGCTGCAAAAGATACTATAGTTGCTATAGATTGTTTTGGATAAGGAAAATAACATCAATAAGAAAATCCCATACTTGAGCGTGACAAAGTTGAACACGGGAACCAGCTTCATCAATCAATTCAATGGCTTTATCTGGAAGAAAGTGATCGCTGAAATATACAAAGACAATATTCGGAGATAAGCAGACAGTTCACGAGCAACACCTGGCTAAGGCACATGAGTGACTATTGCTAGGATCAGAAACAACTAAAAGGGGGATGGAAAACACTGTTATTCGAATGTTTCAAATCCTCCCATCCCATTTGATCGTTACGTTACGTTACGTATACACACTGTTTACTGTAATCAGTAAACAATAAATTATAGATTACAATATAATATAATATTTACATTTTTTCTCCAAAAAAAGTACTACCTGATGTACTGGTATGACAGCTGAGCCGCAGAAACCAAAGCTTCATCAGTGTAACGAACCTTGTGATGGATTTCATATAGTTCGCAAAGCCCTTTTAAAATCTGTAGAGTTTCATCCACAGGAGGCTCCAGGACCTTGACAGGCTGGAACAGTCTTTCTAACACTGGATCTTTCTCAATGTGCTTTCTGTATTAGTCCAGTGTAATAGCCCCAATACACTGATTGATGCGGATATAAGCATGATAAAAAGCTATCAAACAAATGTGGCAACTGCTAAAAGATGGGGACAGACGTATGAAGCACACCAGTTAAACTTAGTTCATCAAAATTGTGAGCCACTAAAAGTCATTCAATAGTGCCATATAGGAAATAAGAAGGATTAATGCACCCAAGCAACCCTTTGCAGAAAGGAACCCTTTGCAAAACATACTTATTAACACTGGGGTGGGAAAGGAAATGAAGGGTGGAACACACAGGATGATGAGTTTTCCAAAAAATACAACAATTTCTAAAATGTCCAGAAGGAAGAATAATTCACATTTTTAAGAATGTGATTAATGATACACAACATCAAATGCATCTGTACGCTACATGGAAGAGTTGAGGGTTCAATTTTGGCCCTACGAACCTGTAATTCACCCCGAGCTAGCACAGGTTTCAAAATGTTTGCAGCATCAATCATCCCCTCTGCTGCTCCTGCTCCTGCTCCAATCAATGTGTGCACTTCATCAATAAAAAATATAATTTCGTTGCAGTGTTTAATTTCCTCCATCAGCTTCTTCAGCCTTTCCTCAAATTCACCACGATACTTTGTCCCAGCAACAAGAAGACCCACATCAAGGGTTATAACCTGAAAGCACACAAAAGGAATTTTAACTGTCATCTTAAAATACTGTAGGTTTTCAGTATTTAATAGAAAGCATTAAAGTAGCCTCTTTTTGGAAATAATTTAGAAATTGTTTAATTTATAAATAGAAAGAAACGAGTGGTGGCTAAATGGATAGTACTTGTGGATCCAATGAAATGTGAGGTTGAAAATGAAGTTTGGCTGTTTAAAAATTGATTTATAAATTTTGCCAAATGGAGGCTTCCTTATTCCAGTAAAACATAAAGTTATAATTATAAAATATATAAATTGAATGCACAAAGGGGGAAGGGAGTGTGGATGTCAGTATCACAGAACCAAATTGGCTATAGCATACACTATATTTTGTTTCGAATCCAGATAACACGAATAATTATAAAACCGAACAAACCCTCATACAACTGAGACCACCAAAGAGAGGAATTTTAGCAAGAATGCATGTCGGGAAGTTGTTTTGATACTTATTTTTAAAATCTTCTTCAAAACTCTTAGTGGACCTCCAAGATCCACTACAGAGGGAAAAGAACTTAACATTTCAAATTTATAAAGAAATTACCAAATTGGGGCCCTTGAAAAGAGCCATCCAACTCATACTTCTACACATGGGACATTTAGGTTGCGGTTGGCGAACCCGAAAAGACCGTAAAAAATTTAGTATAAAATTAGAATATATTGTGGTGGATATGGTATTATGGTAGATTAAGGTGAATGATATTCTTTGATTTTAATTCTAAATAATGTCATTTAAATTATGTTATCTTACCGGCCTAACCCAACTCAACCCTCCCCTCAGCATTAAGTTATACGGTACTGTTGATAGTATAAATGACATTTTTAACTAAACAAGCAAAAAATATATTATCTACACCATAATAGCATCAATGTAGTATTATCTATTCTAAATTTATACTACATTTCTTATACGGTCTTGTTTGTGGCGCCAAACGCAACCTTAGGGTATCAGATAACCAATCTGCCTATTGCTCTTCAAAGTTTCATATAGTAATTTACCTTGTTCCCCTTAATGGTCTCGGGAACATCCCCATTGGCAATTCTCTGAGCAAGGCCCTCCGCAGTAGCTGTCCTCCCAACGCCAGGTTGTCCAATGAGGCAGGGGTTATTTTTTGTACACGGAGAGAAGGAGACGTCTCCGTGCAGTCGAAACACAATACCTTCTATTCATAGAAAAATCTATATTTACCTTGTTTCATTAATTTGTTTCGTTTTATGTATGATGGAAGTTTCAAACCTATGCAAAAGAAAAAAAAAATAAAAGATTAGAACTTCACCTATCGTCAAAAACTTCGGGTACAGAGTGTGAAGGAAAAAAAATTAAAAATCTATCAAATAAAGCCATCTTATTATCTGACTCCNCCTGAGCTGTAAATTTTTCCCATATTGAAATGCTCCATGAGAACACAAGAAAGTCAATCCAACTGCTCAGCACACGTAAAGTTAATGCAGCTAGAAAGTAGAGAGGCCTCTGAAATTTTATACAAAGATCTGAATATACAAAAACTAGATTGCACGCTAACCGCTAAGTTAATGAAACTATTCAACTTGACCAATTCCATAATCTCAAACTAAGGAATAGTCTCCTTCAGTTGAGGGAAACAATCAGAAATCAAAAATCTAATGTAAGCATAAGTTTTCCAGTATGGAACATGTAAATTTGAACCTCAAGAAGGGAGTCATAAAAATGGGAAAAAAAAAATTTGAAAAAAGAAGAAAAAAACCAACCCAGTGGATTATAGAGAACACTTTAGCGCATATTATTATTATACAACTCATGTCATACTACACACATAAATGTACGACAGAATTTCAGCATTCAAAGAAAACAATTGGGCAAGAACTCTAATTAAAAAAAATCTAATTACAATGAAAGAAAACAAGTTGAGTCACGATGAAAGAAAACAAGCAACTCATGTGGGTATATACGTCGGCAAGATTTATTGTATATGCGAGAGTAGGGGTGGGCGTGGGCGTGAGTCGGATCGGCTTCCGCCTCAACTCAAATCCAACCCAACATGATCGTTTGACTTATATAATATTAGGTCTCTATAGTTGCAATGACCAAAAAATCTGAATTATTTTGACACTTCATAAAACTTTTAAAGTTTATGAAGATAGTCGAATTTATTCGTTTTTCATGAGTTAACCTATAATTCAACCCAAAAACAACCAACCCACCCAACCCGTGTAAAAACAACAAAAAAACCGACTCGACCAGTCGGGTTGGTTCTGTTTTGGCGGGTTCGGTATGGTTTTGTCAATCCCTATGTGAGAGAGGAGATCAGGGTAGTGAGAGAGACAAATTTTAGAAGTGACGAAAATAATTGTAATTTGTAAGGAGGAAAGTGTTTAAATAATAGGGTTTGCATACATGGGTCATGCATCCATATCAAGTTATGGAATTTTTTGGGCTTTTGGCCAATTTAATTTTAATTTATTCTCATTTATCTATTTGGTAAACTTATTTATTTTTACATTTTTAAAAATGAACATATCAGTCCCGGTTAGATCCTAGTTCGACTTTGATCCTCTTCCTTTTTTCGAATCGATTTTTAAAACATTGATAAAAACACATATTAGCTCTTTCAATTAGTGCTCACTCACATAATCTAAAAAGAACTATAGAAAAATAATTGATGCTAGCTAACACTTCATTCCATCGCCATTTTTAGTAACGTTAGTCTTTGTTCGTGTAATGCACGGGCTGTGTTATTCTGAATATAACGTTATTGTGTTAAATGTGTTGAATTTTCGTGAATTACATCCCCCAACTCAATATTTGTTATGGTTACATTGGAATGGACTTTTCCTTATTGAGCATGCCATGGGATTTTATTAAATTATATGATTCCAAAACAACAGAAGTCATTTCACATGTGGATCGAGAATCGTATAAAATTCATACAACTAATTAATTGTTCGTCGTAATAGTTGCATAATTATATATGTGCCCACGGAATGCATGAAAGCAAAAGAAAATTGTTAAAATAGTCAATAGCCAATATACATCTCATAGATGTACAGTAAGACCTCGCCAAATAAATATTCGATAAATTCATAATCTCGCTTAAGTAATAAAATTATTCGGTCCCGACTTGAGTCAGTATACTAAATTAATAACCTCGTTAAATGCATAAAATAAGAATTATTTTGAGATCATTTATGGCCCAATGAATATATAAAACAATAATTGTTTAAATTCAATAAAGCTATACTAATAGTTGTGGAAACTATGTTCCATGTGTACATGAAATAACTCAAATGATTAATCTTCCAGTTAGCCTCGATTTGAAACAGACCTAACAAGTGTTTGACGTTTCTGGTTCTACTGTTTTCACTTTTTATATTCACATGAAAGATTTCGTAAAGGAATAGCTGCATATGTGGTTGCAGCAGAGATGCCTATATCTTACTATTGTTCTCATTTCTTCGATTGTTGTTGTCATTATTAGGAAAAGTATTTTACTATAGCATACTTTTTTGTTGTACAAGTTTAATAGTTCAAGATTCGAAGCTAGTTAATACGTTAATTGACATTTTATTGATAAAATATGTAGATAAAAAAATCACCATCAATTATTACCAGACCTCAATGTGTAACTGTTCTAGTTTTTCCATTTTCTTGGCAGGTAATAGCAGAGGAGTACTGCTATTTTGTGGTGAAGAAAGTGAAACTATTGTTGGGAATTTACTTAATCATGCATAGCGGAAATAAAACAATTTTCAATTCTCCAACGAGGATCTGCAATGTGTTTAGATAGAAACTGTGATTAGAATTATACATTTGATGAATTCTGTAAAACCCTTTGCTGATTCACGAACTCCAATGATCACGATCTGTATTCCAAGTTGTCCAATTGTCCAACCTCCAATGGTGATCCACACAGAGAACAAGAATAGTGGCTAGGGTTTCTTTTCTTGTACTAGCAATAATAATAAAAAATCCATGCCATTTTCAAACCCTAATAGTTTATTAATATAAGTCCAAATGGGCTCGACCCATCTATTAAACTTTAATCAAATTAATTAAATCTGGTCCATGAATTAATTAATCCAATTAATTAATTCGGGTCTATTAATAAACAACTCAATTAATTAATTATCCAACAATTGTCAATTAATTAATTGGTAAATCTCATTCTTCTGATTCTCTTTTGTGTGTAACCCATTAGGTTCCAGATCACGATGCCGAACGACGTGAATTATTATTTTGATCTAATCAAAATCGATAAATTAAAACGCCCCTTTTAATTTATCACTAATTCACTTTTGTTGTCTCAAATTGACATCTAGCAATGTATCAGGGTAATACATGTGACGGGAAATATCACGTAGCATGACAAAACCAAACTTGTTCATTTACCGTGAAACTATAATTCTTTCGTCAATATGATCCGATCAATTATGAGATATGGATATGTGTCAATCTCAATTATCGATCATATCTTTTATCCCACTGTTAAGTCAATGTACGTCGAAAACTCTTTTCCGACTTATGAGTTCACCTTGGCCAAGGATTTCATTATCAACTTAACTGGATAAAATGTAGATCATAATCTCTTACTATCTAAGAGTGACGAATCCTCTATTGATCATTCACAACCTTCATATGATTCTTGACATACCCGAACGATGCTGTATTAGCGACCCTTGACAGAGCAACATCCAACATCACCAAAGTATGACTGCCCTCATATAAGGTACTATGATGACCTCAAGTCAAAGGACCAATTCCACTACCGAACGTTAGAGATTAACCACTAACACTTAGATAGTTATCCATGTGGAATCTCTCAGCGGGTCTCCAATGTTTTGTTCTATAACAAAACATCCACGTGTTCATTCAAGTGTCACCACACTTTAGCTTGTGAGATCAGCTACTTACTTCACAAGTAAGAATGCCACACGCGATAGTCTATCCGTAATAACGATATCCGTATCTCGTTATTACTTCGACCACGGACGATTTAAGATTCAGTCATATGTAATTTGTATCTCACAATCACAACTCCTTGTGATTAACAAATCACCAAGACTTGAATCTACGGATTCTATTATTTAATTTATTAGAATATTAATTCAATTAAATAATAGATATTGCCATATATATGCATTGATTATATATATTCAAAGTGTTTATGTCCAAAATTGATTGGACTTAGGGCATAACACTTACAACTATTTCGGTTTTCTTTGCTTCACATAATTTAAATTTAAGAAATGAATCACGCGTGCAAATATGCTCGTGTCAAATAGGAAGGCGAGGGAAGAAGATCATCCTCAACGAATTAAAAATGGAAAAAAAATTATTAAATGCGTCTGTAGAAATTAGAAAAAAAATCTTAAAATGAGTTACGGATTGAATCTTTACTAGACCTAGACTATTACATGTTGATATTGATACATGAAAATTCAAAGTTGGTTTGATCCCCATTATTTTCAAAATACAATTTTCTCTCTTTTCTTTTCAAAAACACGTTATTTAATAAAATAATATTACACACAAAACCAAATTTTTTCCTTATTTTTTAACCATACATTTTCCATTAATCTACTATTTCAAAATGCATTCTTTGTCAAATAATAGGACTTGAACAAGGGCTCAATTTGGAGTGCATTTTCACAATTATTTCAAAAACTTGATTCTGACGGGCGAATAAATCCTTCAACCAAAATCCCAAATAAAAAACACGAGTTGTTAGGATAATAGAATGTAACTCTTCTAGAATGATATTGTTCGTTGTTCTTATACGACTAGGACCCCGTGGGATGAAACGATATTGAAAATCAAGTTTTATCCACAATAAAACTCCTTTTATGATTCGATCAAAATTGACTAACTCGATCAACCTGGATTTTGACTAGTCAACCCCAAGTTTGACTTTTGGTTTCGAGATTTTTGCCGAATTTTACATATTTTTTCGACAACTAACTAGCCAAAATTTTATCAAATAGTGCTATACGGCATATTTAGAGTTATTTATGTCAATTTCCAGCTATTGTCGTCAATCTTTGACTAGTTAAGATTTGTCCAAATTACAACTTCCTGAGTTTTGAGCTTTGTCAACTTGACCCAATTTTAGCCCGTTATGAAAATTAGCAGTCTTTATCTTTTATTACCAAAAAATATACTTCGTGATATACTTCGTGGGGTCGAGGTAGTTGGTTCAGGTTGGAAATTCAAGAAATCGAGATC